GTAATAATTGTATCCTATATAAATTTTAATCTGTAATTACAGGGACCTATATACTCAGATACTAGTATATAGGTTCCTGATAATTATAAAAGAAAACATACCTTTTGCTATGCCATCATTATCTTTACAAACTGTAAAATTAACAGAAAATTATCCATTAATCATAAACAAAAAATATAATTATAGTTTCTATGCTAAGTTAACATTTCAGCTGGCCAACGCAGCTACGTGTCAGGTGTTACCGAGGAAATTCGAACTGCGCGAAATCGAGTCACGTAAACAACACGGAAATAAAAATCGATGACTATCACAACTCGGATTTACTTCATGATCAAACTTTTATATGGAGTAAATGTATAAAGCTGAGTTGTGACACCTGTCTTCTTTTCAGTTTACACATCTGTTACACGATACAAGCGAGCTTTCATCCCCAAGGCCTATTTTTAAAATCACTAAAAGTCAACCATTAACGGTTAGAGATCCGGAACGAAGTTGGTGCTAATTATTGATATCAACAGGTATACACACATGTACATATTAATAAATCAAGACCAAGTATCTGTGGATTTATGTTCAGCATATTCATTTTTTTTTAGTCAAAACCACAATCACTGACCAGTACAAGAGGTTCACACAGTCATATATAATTATTGGTGTTTCTGAGGTCAATAACATGATTTAGCAACCTGAGGAGTACAAATACACCGAGCCCGAAGGGTTCCCCTGCACCCCTCAACCATCCCCATCCCAAATTATTGTATTGAGGTCAATACGATGATTTAGCCACCTGAGGAGTACAATATTCACCGAGCCCGAAGGTGGCTAAATCATCGTATTGACCTCAAAAACACCAATAATTTTTTTATTATATATGATTCAATGATTACATGTAAATGATACAAACTAATTTTAAAAGCAGTTCATACCATCTTACTTGTTTACATTTGCTGAAGTCCCAGCCAAATGCAATGAGAGAAGAGGGTTAAATAAACATTACCAGTCATATTAATTTGGAATGTTTTAAATCTACTTTTAATAGTTGCTATGAAAAAAATAATGTCAGGCTCTTTTATAGGATAGATTTTGAACAGGGGGGGGGGGGATTATCAGGGAAAATTACAGCTGAAAAAAAATCTTTGACTAGCCCTATGCGCGTATCTAGAGGGGGTGGGGTGGGGTGGGGGTCCGGACACCCCCCGGAATTTGCAGAACACTGAAGCAAATAAAAAATGACCCCCCCCCCCCGAAAACGTGGACCCACAATCACCACCAAGAAATAGGTTTGTTTTCACCTTTAGGAAATGAATTTAGTTTTTTGTTTTTTGTTTTTTTTTTTTTTGTTTGGGTTTTTTTTTTTTTTTTTTTTTTTTTTTTTGGGGGGGGGGGGGGTTTGTTTGTTTGTTTGTTTGTTTGTTTGTTTGTTTTTTTTTTTTGCTTGTCAAGAAATTTCTGGGTAGGAATTTTTTTCGACTGGGGTGGACCCCCCCCCCCCCGTGGAAAAAAATTACTGGATCCGCGCCTGCTAGCCTTCACGAAAAGAGAATTCTCTTAACTTCAAATTTCGTTTTATGGGGGATTAAGGTCCATTAGTGGGGACCAGTCTTTCAATGAATATTTTTAGTCTAAATTAAAAGTGGAAATTTACGTTCAAAAAATGTTTTTTGGGGGAGGTTCCCTGCACCCCCAACCACCCCCATTCCAAATTTATATTCCCTATGTTATGTCCACCTGAGTGGAAGTCGGTAGCAAGTGAGATAACTTTCCAAAACAATTTGTATCAAGTTGGAATTTCCAGATCTATTTTTAGGCCAATGTAGAGAAAATAAATCCTTTTATTATACCTCTGTGAATTTTTTCTATATAAAAATATGACAAATAAACCTGCTATTTTTTTCTAAACAACCCCTACTGTGGAATAGTTTTTGTGCTATTTGCCCATGGTGAAATAGTCAGTAAACTATTCACCGGCAGTATTCCATTTCCCTCATTTTTCATCTCAAAACTATCTGGTTTGTGGTATTGTGACGTATCCGGTTTCTGACGTAACAAAAGTAAAGTCGACTTCGGTACAATAAAAAACCTATTTACTGACTATTCGGACAATAGCAAGTTTACAGTTTACCGTCCCCCTCGACAGTTGGGGGACGATAAACTTGCTATTGTCCTCATAGCCAGTAAATAGGTGTATAATATTCACCTGAAAGGTCACGTGCAGGTGAATATAATGTAGTAATTTTTCTACAAGTTGGATCTCAGCCAATCAGAGAGATAGGAATTATCTCATACAACATTAGAACATACAATCAGTTAATTTTGAGGGCTCAGAAAGAACAGACATGCAGTTTTGAAAGTTTTCTTAATAAATATTTGACAAAGATTTTTGTATTGAGTTCATTAAACTTAAAAGTTTAGGACTTTTTACAAAACCTTTTTAGAAAAGTATTTTCTGTTGTTCTTACTTATATTCAATAATAATTATGATATTTCTATCTGAAAATTTAATTAAAAATTACTCAAGGAAATTTTCCTTACCTGTAAATGTATGCACATCATAAATGACAAAGAAAATTTTTTGCGTTCAGTATTAAACTAAACGATTCCCCTTGATTTACTTTCACAGTGGTGTTTGAGTGTTAGAGTGTGAGAAAATATGGATTTTTTGAACTTGCAGACCTGCAGTGAGGGTTTTAAGGAGGCACGCAATCCACAAACATCTGGACTCTCGATAGTCTATGATTGGAGCCGTTCATAGGCCCCTGTCCCAATTAAACGTACCTTTTTTTCTCAACTGAATGTGTAATTTTCCCAATAGCCATTACCTTCCAATATTCAAAAAAAAAAAAAAAAAAAAAAAAAAAAAACGGTTTGGATACGTAATAACCAAACTTGCTTATCATGTTCCTGTTTATTGCAAAAGAAAATAAGGAGTTGATAACAAACACCAGAAACCCAAAATATTGGCGCTATTTCCCAATTTTAACGACCCTGGCCCCAGTCCCAAATAGTGATGTGAGAGCCCTGATGTAATGCCGAGAACAGGTAGTATAGCATTTAAAAGGATCAGTATTACTCTCCGTGTTTCATTAGTTCAAAAATCAACTGTTATTTTGTCACTCAGGACTTAAAGTCATGTCATTTATGAGCTCCCCGATATTAGCAGGGCTTATGCATGTAGTTGAGAGTAACATTGAAAATTTTCACCCCAAGAAAACCATTGTCAACCGAGGCGCATATTACAGTGAACCTTGCGCGCATAAATTCTGCACAGTCAATATTTCTGGAATATCACCCGTCATCAAGCAATGTTGACTGTTGCTATGCTGGAGGGCGTGGCTTCATTATTCAGTGGGTAGTAGTGTTTTTTAACAAATGTTTCTCGGCGAATCAGATTCAACTAATTAACATGAAAGTATAATATTTCAAATTGTCTTCCAAACACAATATGCAAAACTATGTTCACTCCCTTCCCACTTCAAAATATGGCAACAGCGAGATTTAACAATTTTAAGAGGAAAGCTGTAAATGTGGCGACAAACCGGGTTTTCTTTTGTGTGAACAGTAGTGGTATTTCTCACAAAAATCTTTTTAAAAAAACTTTCTATTCTGAAAAATGCAGGAGGTGTCATCCTAATATTATCAATATACCCTGTATGCAATATTTTGCATAAAAAATGACAAAATTCATCAGCTGGTATTTTTCTCACCAATGATCAAAATTCAAATAATATCCACATATATTTTAAGTACAATTGATCTGCAAAATAAAAAAAAAGTTCCCATCATGGAAACTGAATGTAGGAGAAGTTATCTGGACAAATGATGTACCCTATATGCAATATTTTGTCCAAAAAAAACTACATGGAAGTTCAACAGCTGGTATTTTTCTCATATCTAATCAGATATCCAAGTTATATGCAGCTGTCTGATATATGTACAATTAATGTGCAAAATAAAAAAAGTCCCCATCTTGAAAACTGCAGAAGTTATCTGGACAAATGGTGTACCCTATATGCAATATTTTGAAGGAGTAATCTGGACAAATGATGTATCCTTTAAATTGGCAGCCACCCGCCATTTTCACCATTTCTCCTAAGAAAACCCGGTTAAAAATGCAGGAATATTTTATATTAACATATTTATAGATCAACAGCTTGAGGGGAGACATAATAATTATTATAATACATGTACATAAATGGCAATTTGAAAATACTGTGTGTAATAATTAGTTTATACAACCCTCGATAATTATATTTCAATCTATGATTATCTATCCAGTCTTTACATTTAAGGTGAACGATGAGGATTTTTTGTATATAAATGGGCTTTAAAAATCTCACCCAAGGCAGCTCTCAACTACAGGGTAAACACGTTAACCAGAACAACGTAAGAAATTACATAGATCATCGGTAATTTGATCCAGATATCGGGGATGTTTTATCAATTCATTTGAACAGCGAGGGCTTGTAAAACACTGCCGTGCAATTAGAACTGCATTTGTTTTATAAACTATTTGTCATTGAAGAAAATAAATTTCTCAGTCATATTTTTTTGTAAAGATTAAATGAACAATATTCTGACATAAAAATACAAAATTTAAATGTTCGAAAACATTACAATCAGTTGTATCGATTTTAATTGTTATTTTCTCATTTGAAACTCTCTTTTGTGAAAAGAATCTTCTGGTTCGATAACTTTCAAAACCCTAAGCCAAAAAAGAGATAGGAAATTCACGAACTGGATATATGCCAGCTTGATATAGGTGGATTTTACCTGCCTTTTGATAGTCTACCCATTTTTCAAAGAGTCTCTTAAATGTCCAGATAGGTAGCGGGTTTATTTGAGTAATGTTTAATTTCAATATTGACTTTTTCATAGCTTTTAAACTATTTGACTGCTAATATGCAGTTCTGATAATAGCAACGACAAAGGGCACGAGACAAGTTTTATGCCTATATTGTACAAAATCGGAAAATTTTACTTCTGGGGAGGATCTGAGTACAATGGAGAAACCGAAATCAGAACTTTCTGACGAGGCGTGTATCGTTGAGTGCCAAATATGTTCGAAATGGGCAACCCGACCAAGATGTTTACCGTGCGTACATTCATTTTGTGAAACATGTTTACAATCGTACATTCAAAAGAAGGCTGAGGAGAAAACGCATCTCGGTTCCACAGATGAAGAAAAGTTGTTAACCTATTATCGATGCCCTGTTTGCAACCACAAGGTTAATGTTGCGGATTCTGAAATTCCTTCAAGTGCCTGGCCTAAGTTACTTCCGTTGAACCGTCTGCTGATCACAGTTGCTGAGAAACTGTCACTTGAACGCGCCAAATTTTGTGATCCCTGTAAGAGAGGAGATGAAGAAAAGGAAGCCGTTTCTTGGTGCCGTGAGTGTGGTGAGGCATTATGTGATCAGTGTACAACTTATCATAAACGGGTCAAAATGTTAATGGACCATGCGGTTTTTTCCCTAGAAGAGATCCGCACACAACCCAGAAAAATTGCCGAAACTGAGGAAGTCTGTTATTTGCACCCTAGAAAAAACGTAGAAGCCATATGTCACAATCATGACAAGCTCTGCTGCATGGACTGCGTTGCATATGATCACAGTGAGTGCAAGAAAGTCATGCCAATAACAGATGCGGCGAAAGAAATCAAGGGAAGCAAAGCAATTACCAACTTAATTATCAAACTGAAGCAAATCGACAATCAAGCCGTTTCCGTAATAGAAAGTCGATCCGCTAACGTGGAAGAACTACAAAAGCAACAAGAGACAATTATATATGAAATTCAAAAACTAAGAGCAGAAATTGCAAAGCACTTAGAGGAATTGGAAGAACAATTTAGGCAGGATTTTTCAATCATGCACAAGGCCCTACTGGAAAAGTTAGACATTCAAAGTAGAGAATTTGGATACATCCATAAGGCCATAAACAATGGTCAAAAGGTACTAAACGTTTCCCTTTCCCATGGATCAAGTGAACATGTATATATCACTGCTCACAAACTGAAGAAGATTGGTGAGGAGCATGAAAAGTTCATCAAGACAGAAAGCAAACACATTTACCACCATGACTATAGACTAAAGCTCAGCGAAGTTGTAGAGGACTTAACTACAAAAATTCATTCCATTGCCAAAATAAACATTGATAGAATGCCTACAAACACAGTCCCAACATTTATGAAGGATATGGTTGCAACACATCTTGGGGATTTAAATGGAAAATCTCCATCTGACACATTTCATCCATGGTTTACGGATGGAATCTTCCTTCCAAACGGCAGTCTGGTACTTGCAGACTTTAAGAACAAGAAAATAAAGTGCTTTGACAATCAAGATGTACTGGTGTCTGAACTTGCATTGGACTACCAACCATGGGGTGTGGCTCTTTTTGAACCCAATGTCTTGGTGATCACTATGCCTGATCGACCTGAATTGAGATTTATAACAATTACAGATGACAACAAAATGGAACTTCGGGAAAACGCACTGGAGACCATAGCTGGATGCCATAGCATTCAGGTGGAAGACGACAAACTCACAATAGCGTGCTCGACGGAGGTTCGGGTTGCATCCAAAGAGGGTAAAGTGGAAAAAATCATTCAAATCAAAGATAGGGGCACACGTTATGCACATAGAACTTCGGATGGTACATTTTCCTACACAAATAAAAGTGCTCTAGTGTGTATTAAGGATAATGCTGAAGTCATGCATTACTCGGACAAGGAACTCCGTTCTCCACGTGGCTTTGCTGTGGATAGAGAGGGAAATTTCTACATATGTGGCATGGATTCTAACAATATTCATCAAGTGCGTCCTAGCGGTAGCCTAGTAAAGCTACTACTTCACTCAAAAAGTGGCATCAGAAATCCATACGCTATCGATTTTGAAGTCTCAACGAACCGATTTTTTGTCACCCAGATGGACTGTGAAATTGTTAAAATGTATCGACTGATTACAAACTGGTGATTGTCACTATAGACTGCTGTTATAATGTAAAGTTGATAAGTTATACATGCACTTACTCAGTTACTTACTTGCTTGCCTGTTTACTTACTTATGCCCACAGCCCCTTCTGGGCCATAAGCCACCGACAAGATTTCTCCATGCTGTCATCTCTATCCTGGCCTTTCCTCTCAAGCTCCTTCCAAGTGAGCCCTATTTTTTACACCTCTACCAGTTTTATTTGGGGGGGGGGGTGTCTCTCTTTCTTCTCCCTTGGGGGTCCAAGCTAAGTTCCTGCCTCGTGACGTTGGTTGAGGGTTTACAGTTTGCTGGTTTATGTATGCTAGAAATCAGTGTTGTTGACGTTGTTTGATCATGGTATTTAAAGGATAATATATAGACACATGTTGACCAGGGTCTGAATTTTTTATGTTGGTAATTGATGTCCTCCAAGTCTCGGCACCATACAGTAGGACTATATATTGATATGAGGGTAACATCTCTGTATCTCCAGACCTTTTTCAACTGTATGAAAATACATAATACCTTTCTGATTTCTCTTGTGATGTTCTGAGGTATTTCTTTTCAGTTTTCGTTTCCTCATATCTTGTTCCGTTGGAATTCACAGATGTTTTTCTTTTCTTTCCTCTCTTTTATCGAGTTATTTCTCTTGATATCATCTTTCTTGTATCGGTATTTTTGCAAAACACTTACTGACACATTGAATGATGGTCTGCATATTTCACTCTCTTTCAGGTGTTGCCAACAGTGATCATATACTCCGCTTGATTTGCCTATAGTTTTGAATGGGCTATAACTAGATGCTGATCACAAGTCACGTCTGTCCACATCCCGAAGCTAGACTTCTCTGAATTCTTTTACCTATACTCACATACTTTCATCGCCTTCTTCGATACGTACGTCTTCCTGATTTTCTGTTTTATGGCCTTGCGATATCCATATTGCTTGCAGTAAGTATATGGTTTGTTTGGGAACTGCTTATTATACCAAGAACCATTTTATTATAGTCTAACTCCATTTTGTACATTTCTCATATTTCATGATCTCAGATTTACCCTCATTATACCCCGTGTTATCAATTATCTTAGCATTGAGATAGCTGTTGTATTCTGTTGTAAAGAATTGTTTTTTATAGTTTTTTTCTCTGTCATTTGTTAGTGCGTTACATTGGATAGCATTCATGTTGAATATCTTTCTTTTTGTTCGGAGGCTTTACTGATTCTTATTGATTCTTGACCGTATTAGCCATACATCGACTTAAATGACATGCCTTTATGTACTCTTAGTTACTGACGTAATACTCGAATCATTTTCACCCTTTAATTCTCCACGAAATGGAGTATTGTAAAAATTTTAATGAATGGAGAAGAATTGTCAACGGAACTTTAAAGTGCTCGATAAATCAAATATCTGAGAAGCTTTACTTAAATTGATGTTTTTTAGAGGAAATTAAGACCGTTTTGCACGATTCCACGTACTTTTAATCGATCCCTTTTGTTAGAATGATTATTTTTAGTGTTGGAATGATATTGTATCTGTTTTGTAAACCCTTTCTTGTAAAATAATTATTATTTTAGCTTTTTCTTCTTTGTTTTCCTGAAAACCATTACTAACTGTAACTCAATGTAATTTAATGCCCGCGATGCATGCAACAGTAAGTACAACGTGAAATCGGAATCTAAGTATTTCATACCAAATGACGTACACAATTGCAATAAGAATTTGATTGCTTTTCTAAATGATAACGGGCACATTATTGAAAATACTCTGCACATTAACTTACGAGAGAGCTTTTATACAAATATTTCGTACAAAGTAAAATGATATTACAAGTGGATTATACTTGTCATTTAAACGAAAATGGTTTTTAAGGGCTTAAATGTTTGCTTTTAAATTAGATGAAATATTTGAAGAGACAATATAGATAATTAATAGATAATTAATTAATTTAGTTATATAATCCCGCTGTCTCCGCTATTGATATGATCCGTGATATGATCCGATTTCATTCAGTCTTTATCAAAAGAACAGGGTTTTAAAAAATCAACCGGCCAGTAAAACTTCCTGTATCAATTTTAAGATATGGGTGAATCCAAAAAATGACCGAACACATAGTTATCAACGTGTCTTTTGACTGGCTATATACCTACCAAATATCTTATAAATATCTTAAGACACAGAAAAGTTATGCCCAAAAATGATGTTTAAAATGACAGGAGTGCAATACTTTTTCGTGACATTTTGAAAATTTCATATTTTTTAAAGACCTGTTAAATAATTAAATAATAATGATTTCTATAAGCTATAGAAATAAAGATCTTCCTGTTAAAATTCAGTATATTGAACTATAGACTTAGACTGTAGTAACTTTTGCTTAACCAAATTATGGTCATGGCTGATGCTGAAAAAAATGTTATACCATGTCAGCAGTTCAACAGAAAAAAAAATGTAATGATGCTAAAAACATTTATTTTAAAAATCTGTTTGTCAAGTAAGTCAAACAAGAATTGTAAAAGTGTAAAACAATAAATGATATACCATTTAAGGGTTTAATATGTTACATGTGTGTATATGAAATATGGAGATAACAACAGTAATCAAGCTCTCAGTCAATTAAAACAATACAAATCGGGAGCAGAGCAAACACGGACCACCAAAAAACACGAGAGGTGGGATCAGGTGCCATGAAGGAGTGAGCCGACCGGTCACACCCACATGCGCCTCTTGTCATGATCGGGAAATAACTTAAAAATCCGTCGACAATTAATTGTGTAAATAATGGCCTAACAAGTAGTATGAAAAACGTCTTTACTACAAATTGAATTGCAGAAATCGGCTGATAACAATTGAAGTTGAAATCATTATGTATATCAACAAATTACAGACATCTACGTCAATTCACAGAAAAGTTTTCATCACTTAAAAATATTTTTAACAAAAATATATTACATAAGCAAATAAGCATGTTTTGAAATCAATAAAGTATTAAAATATTTTCCTAAATGGGTAAAAATATCAACGACGAACTGCTTTTCAAAATTTGAATGAGATATTGTGTGTTAAAAATTTCAAAACAATATTTAAAAGAAAAAATTTAAAAAACATTGGGAAATTTATTGCATCATATTTCTTTCCTATTAAAACTTTCAAACCATGTTATAATTGAAAAATATATTATGCTAAGTTGAATTTTTCAAAAAGAATTCATCCATATTACTCGATTATTCAAAATACTTTTTTTTAGAAATATTAACCTTAACACAAGGTTAAGTTTTGTTTATCGCCGACCGGCAAGTGTGTTTCCGACGCCGTTATGACGTAAAGTCGTTACTTTTCGGCACTCATTTTCAGTTCATCCGCATATTATCTTTTTTACCTCTCACTTCTTTTTAATATTTTTTACCGCCATTTTGCTATAAACCGTCTTGTTTTGAAATGTAGTTTAAAAATCATCTGAACTATTCAAATGTTTTTTTTAATGTATACCTTTTTGCGTAAATATTATGTGTATATATCATCAGATTTAAAATAAGTGTCCAAGAGAAACGAAACGTCGTGAGGACGTCTGTATATTCTTGCCATTCGGCGATTAACGGGACTCAACTCTGTGTTTATTTCAATATTTTATAAAATATTGCATATATCTGAATGAAATTTTAGGGCAAAAGTCAAAGTAGATAGAGGTATTAGCATATAAAGTTTTGTTGAAACTTACGATTATCAAAAATTTTATAGCAGTTGTGACATCAATTTTGGATCAACCCTCGTAACAATTTTCTATATCAAATTCTAGTTTCTCCCAAGAAATTATGTTTTGTTGAAATTAAAAATACATTATAGTGTCATTATGTACAAAGAAAGGTAAAAAAAAATTCTATGTTGCTTCTCAGAAACTTCCTGATCGGGAAGCTGTATCCGTTATACAGTATAATTAATGACAAAAACAACGCTTCGGGATGCAATATGTTCAACTGAATCGTGATAATCTCAAAGAATGGATCTATGACTGTCACCAAATTTTGTATCATTTTTATTTTGTTATTCTTATCAATCGAAATTCATTGCAGATATTAATCTTGTTATACGTTTTTTCAGTACAAATGCATATAGAATACCTTAAAATATTTAACGAATCCGATATTTATTTAATTATGCATGCTGAAGGTGGAAGTTACCGTTTTGCAGTGTAGTAAGCCTGGATAAATATAACACATTCGAGGGTTAAGCCTGGATAAATATAACACATTCGAGGGTTAAGCCTGGATAAATATAACACATTCGAGGGTTAAGCCTGGATAAATATAACACATTCGAGGGTTAAGCCTGGATAAATATAACACATTCGAGGGTTAAGCCTGGATAAATATAACACATTCGAGGGTTAACTCAAAAGTAATGTCGCAACAGTTACTGCTATGAAATCTTTTGGTATCGAAAGTTATCAACGATATTTTATATAGTCTTATGCCTCCATTTTTTACCTTTTCCTTAAAAATTCATTTAAATACGATACTTTTAAAATAAACGCCAAGTTAGGTCTCGTCTATCGCTTAGTTAGTGCAAGAATGTTACCGACGTCGTAATGACGTTACTTATTGGCACTCGTTTTCAGGTCATCCGTAAATCTTTTAAATCTCGAACACATATGCGTTTTATTTTATGTACACTCTCAGCTTGTGATAGAGCGTATAGTTTTAGGCAATATAAAAAAAATCAACTTTCCACAGCGCATTTGCATAATTATCCATTCCGCTGTGTGTATACATTTAGATCTAGCCTAGCGGCGGATTCAAGAAGAAATGACGTGAAATGCTCATCCATCTTCCAAGCATCGTCCATATTTTCTTTCCCATTTATGTTATTATTTTTGCAACTTTTGAATCTTTAAAATGTTAATCATTTCCCTAATTAGTTGTCAATGTCTTGGTCCTCAAGTCTGGCGTTAAATCAAGTCATAAACCTTTTTAACATTCCTCAACTGAAGAAAAAGAAAGTGAGTGGACGATCAGTCAACATATAGCGTCACTTACTCTGACATCTAACGACATATAAGATCTACACAAAAAGAATAAATAAATAAATAACATTTCGACAAATTTCAATGAATTTTAAAACAACTCAAAACAAGACGCTTTATAGCGAAATGGCAGTGAAGGTTATTAAGTGGTTATATAGATATGCGGAAGAAAAGAAAAAG